ACAACGGAAGCATTCACCAGTGGGCCATTACAGTGTAAGCTTGACATCGGTAAGTCATCTGTCTTTCCCCCTTGTCAAAGCAAAAATAAATTCTGAACTCAAGTATGTGTTTTATTGTCAAGAATCCCATCTGTTGCAGCCTTCACAATAACTCCCAACTAGAAGTACTATTTTCTTTACTCCTTTTTTCCTACAGGTGTGTCGTCTGTTATCCTTTGCTAATAGCAATTGTATATGAGACCGATTTTGTGTCAGAGGACAATTTTAAATGAGGGGAGCAGTCCAGCACAGGGTATCTGTGAGGCATGGAGTATATCCATGGCCTTCTGCCTGGCCAGGAAGAGTAGACCATGTGTGCTGTGCTACTGAAGCAGATTTTAGGATTTGGATTTAACATGGTCAGGGCCTTATTTAGTCATGTCATTAAAAATTGATGATGAAAACAAGTAAAATGGAAAGCTTTCCACTGCACTCACTACCTAGGCAATACTCTTTCCATGCCAGCAGCAACGTTTGCCTTTTTACAGATAGCTAATTCCAGCCATTCTCCAAGTGTTGTATGTTGTCCCTCTGAAAGCAGTCTTGCTTAGATGATTGGGGTTTTTTTGCTGTGGCTGTTCTGTTGTTTTTAATGTATAAATAACACTTGAACAGAATGGATTGCTTCACGCGTTAGAGTCTTTTCTTTTACTCTTGCCCAAGTACAGCAGAACATTGCTGTGTTGATGCATTTTTAAGCTTGAAAATAGATTTGTTTTTTCTGCATTTTCCTGAGCTGTACTTATGCCTTCCATTACAGGTTACTAATGAAAAAAACATCCTTCAGGCAAATAGGAAAAAATGGGAATTCTCCAAGACAGACGTGCGTTTGCCAGAACTAAATCATCTCCCTGAGCTGAAAGGAGTGGAAGGTATGAGCTTTGACGTCCTCTAAATAAAACCTGGATCCTAAATAGGTGGCAGGAAGCAGTACAGGTGCATTAGAGCAATCAGCTCTTGCTTCCTTAACATGGTATGGATTGGTTGTGTTTTGCAGCGTGGCATCCCAGATTTCGGAAAAAGGAAAATAAACCAGTTTCAGAGTCCCGTGTCCCCTCCCTTGCTGCTATTGACCTCCATAACCCAAGTCTGGCCTCACAGCAGGTAATAAAGCAATAAAATAGTCTGTGCTGCTCCGTATTTGTTTGGTTCGGGACTTTCTGAACAGCATGACCCACAAATTTCCAGGGTGACTCTTAACAGAAGCAGAACTTGCTTTGGTTTCTTAACTGTCTAAGTAAAAGTACCTGGAGCCTTATACTAGGGGAAAAGAGAAGGGTCACGGACGAAACGTGTCTCCATTTGTCTCTCCGAGATTAGCTAAATACTAGATTCCCACTGCTAAGACAGACAACGTGAATTGTTGCTATTTCAGCTGGCTGAACGAAGGCGGAAGTAAGCCTGATTTACCAGAGTTGAAGAGAGACCAGGAGGGACAGGTGTTTTGAGGAGAGCTGTTCTGGCTGTGTTAGATGTTGAGGGGCTGAGTGCAGCAGGGATGGAGAAGGAGTAGGACCCACGTGTAG